TGCAGAGTTTTTATTTCTTTTTTTTTTTTTTTTTTTTTTTTTTGCATTTTAGAAACAGTTGCCAGTGTCCAGTGGACATCAAGCTGGGTGCACATTGGGTGGGGTGAGTGTAGGGGATATTGCTGTGGTAGACTCTGGACTGGCTGGGGTAGAGCCTAGGAACAGGGTAAGTGTTGCCTAAGGATCTGTCGTGTCTGTGGTGTTAATCTGTCTGGGAAACGAACTTTGAACTCCACAATGAGGTCTCCCCGCTGAGTGGGCACTTTGGGGAAGGGCAGTCCCTCCCCACGGAGTCTCTTCACGGTGCCTGGCTTGATGACGTCATTGCAGGGCAAAGGGATCACTCGGCCATCAATGGTGGGAATGTTCACGGTGCAGCCACACAGTGCCTGGGGAGAATGAAGCAAAGAGTGAGGAAAAGGTGGGGAAGGGTGAGTGAGAAGGGAGGAAATAGACTGAAGTGGGGAAAGAATGTGCCAGCTGATGAAAAGGAAAGGAATGTCCCCTGGCATCCCCCCAACACACACACCCAACCTAACAAGGCCCCACCTCCTTGAGGCTGATCAGGGCACTGTAGAGCACATTGGTGCCATCTCGGCGAAAGTGTGCATGCGGCTTGTCTTTGAGCACAAAGACAATGTCGGCAGGGATGTTGTCAGGTGTGGCATCGCCCTCTTTGGGGAAGGTGATCTTGGTGCCTTCCTTCCAGCCACGCTTGATGACAATGTGCAGTATCTTGTCCTCGGTGCGCACAGTTCGCCCATCCGGGTTGAGGCGCCGCCGCGTGATCTTCATGCGTTTGGTGGAGCCGTGGTAGATCTCCTCCAGGGACACCCGCAGCTCGTGCACCACAGGTGGATCCTGTACCTTGCGCCGAGGGTACAGTGGTTCTGGGGCTCGCCTTGGCCCCCTACTTAGCCCATTGAAGCCAAATCGGCCAAAGGCACCAAATGGGTCCTCATCTTCATCCACATCCATGTCATCTGGGTCAAAACCACTGAAAGGTCGAGTGGAACGGCTGCTGGCAAAGAAGATATCGAAGGGGTTGGAGCCACCAAAGAAGGAGGCAAATGTGGCGTGAGGGTCCCCATGAAAGGTGTAGTGAAAGGAGCCACTGGAGCCACCTGATGTACCACCACCGGTCTTCAGGCCTGGAGGAGAGGAGAAGTTAGGGGCAATGTGGATCATCCTGCCCTACCCCAGTCTTTTTCCCCCTGCCCTTTAGCTCCAGTTCATGGGCCTAGAAAAAGAAGCAAGCTTCAACACTTGCAGAGAAAGCCAGGCTAATTGAGTAAGAAAAGCTTCTGGCAAGATTAATTTTTAGTCTTAATTATATATTTAATAATAATGCCCACCTTGAGGTTCAAAGAGGCTAGGTTACCCATTAAGGGCAAAAGCCAAAGAGGACTTAGACGATGTAACTTCTAGTCCTGTAATCTTTTCCATGTACACATAGCCTAATGATGTCTCACAAAGCCTTGGGTGACTAACCTGGTATCATGTTACAAGTCACACCTGGCTCCCAAATGTTTGCTTATCTCCAAAGACATACAGGCAAAGAGACAATCAGACAGGACTTGGCCACAAAGGGGCTATAAATGACTGGTCTCAAATGAGGTGGGGATACAGTCCAGAAGGAAACCCGCTTTCACCCTGCTTCTCATAATGCTTCCTCTTTACTTGACTCTTACACAAATGGGAAATCAGGAGGCTTCAGGCCTCAAAATAGCAGGAAGCGCTTCATCTCAGTGAACTTAGATGAGGAGCTATTTTTCTAGAAAAAGTTTCCCAATATTTTGTTCCCACACTGTCTGCTCAGTGTTACACAACTCCAGGGAGTGTCATTTACACATCGTACAGACATAGACTACAATGGGAATGGAGCTCACTGGAGTTATACAACAACAAGCCCTACACCCGACATCTAATGTTGAGCAACCAAAATGCATGAATGGGCTGGTGCATTGCAGGTGGTGGCCCCAGATGCTTTCTCTGTCAGGTTCTGTCTAGGGGGCTCAGATTCCTGGAGGCAGCATTCATGGTGAGAAGGTAGCAGAGGATATGGGGAAAGGGTTAACATTGAGAACTACTGTAGAAAACATAGATGTAACTGTGGGACTCAGGCTAGGGGAAGAGACCCTTCTCTTCGACGCCTTTTATCGAGAATTTCAATTGGTCATGGAAGCCTGAGCCTAAATTAGCCTCTTACTTCCTAGGACCACAGGGGCAGATTTGAGTTTCATTAGCAAGGTCAAGTGGTTCAGGGGCTTGTGGCAGCTGCTTCTTCACCCCTCCCTCAAGGCTTAGGGTCTCTTCTTTCTTTCTATTGAGGGGCTATCTAGCAAGTTAGAGAAGCTTGGCAGAGCTCACTGAGTGGGGAGGGAGGCTGGGCTGATGACTATGGGAAGGGGTAATTCTCTCTGCAGGGATTCCTACCCTACCACTACCGCCCCCTGTTCTAGCTGAGAGCAACTTATCCCCAGCCAGAGCTGCACAGAGTCTGTGTGTACAACTGTTCTGGCTGGCTGCTGGGGAGGGGGCAGGGGAGACAGAATATAACTAACACATCGAAGCTACTTCTCCCTCCCCAGGCCCTGGAGGTCTCTTTCTGACATGCTGCATCCTCAGGGGCCCTCCTGGCATGGGGATCCTGCATGAGAACCTGGTGTCTGGCCTAGGAACTGGGTGTTGCCCTCTTAGGCTTTGTCACTCAGCAGAGAAGTATCTCTGGGTAGCTCTCCCAGCTCCTGTCTTCCCAAAGGTGAGGCTGAATGGAAGAATGAGTGCAATTCCAAGACAAGTCACTTGGTGGCATGGTGTCAGCACTGCTTTCCTCTCCTCACTTGACCATTCCCACCCCTCTACCCCAGAGAGAAAAATTTCTTAGCTGGGAGAATATTGAGGATTCCAGCAGGTACCTGGTGAATCTGGGAGTTGGCAAGTCTAGGAGGTAAGCAGGAAAAAAATGGAAAGGACTAGCAGTGTAGGGAATAAGAAGGAGGTTGGGAGGACTAGGGTGTACAGTGGGGAATGGAAGAAAAGCAAGCAGGGGAAGATGCCTTTGAGCATCTGCTTTGTATCAGGTGCCATACATATCATTAGCCCATTTAGTTTGGAAGAGAGGGTGGAAAGGGTGAAGAGGAGGAGAATGTGCAACAAAGGTGGATGCCGCTGGGGAGGAAGGGCAGTTCTTCCCAGGAAGGAGAGTCCTCAGCTGTGACAGTGTCTCTTAATATAGCCTGACAGGTGCCTGTGGCTGGCGGGTGGCAGGCAGCCCTGAGGGGCAGGCCCAGAATTAGCAGCTACATCATGCCCGTGGGATGTTCTGGGAGGGGCCACCCTCTCAGAGGCTTTATTTGGGCCTTTCCTGCCTCCCGCTCTGTGGCCACCAGCTACCCAAGGGAGGGAGTAAGATGCCAGCAGCAGTTCCCCTTCCACTCTTGGATCCCTGCCACTTCCTCTCGGAGGGAAGATCAACCTCTGTTCTGCTGGCCTGAAGTGGGCAGGGAGGGGGGAAGGATGGGGACAACCACTTCTGCTCAGGGCTCTGGTGGTTAATTCCCAGGCTGCTAAGGGCCAGACTTTTATGCTGATGAATGTAAATGCTCTGTCCTCAGAGAGCCACACACTCCCGCTCCCCCATCTTCCCCATCAGCCAATGAAGGAACAGGGACTTCAGGCAGGACTAATAAGGCTGGGAAGCGAAGAAGGGAGGGGAAGGCCTCTGGCTCTAGCTTCAACCCTCTCTTAAGGCCTGAACTAGAGGAGGGAAAGGGGAGACGACGGTAAGCTGAGGCTTGGTGGTGGGTGGTCTCCTCTCTCCTCCCAGTATCAGGGCTAGAAACCCTTACCTCCCTCTCCCCACCCTCAGCTTCCAATTTCCTGCTGTGAGAACCAGGTCACCCAGGATTGCCAGCCAAGCATAGGGGTCCAGGACTGGAGTGGAGTGCTGCTCTCTTACCTTCTTCCCCATATTGGTCATACAGGCCCCGCTTCTTGGGGTCACTCAGCACATCATAGGCTTCTGCAATTTCCTTAAACTTTTCCTCAGCATTGGGTTCTTTGTTCTTGTCTGGGTGGTACTTCAAGGCCATCTTCCGATAGGCTTTCTTGATCTCATCTTCATTGGCCCCCGATGAGATCCCAAGAATCTTGTAATAATCTTTTCCCATCACAGCCACTGGACCAGCACTGGTCTCCTTGTTTCTGAAAGAAACCCAGGGCCAATCTTTGATGCCCCTATTCTCTTCTGACCCAGCCCTGCTCCTTATGATCTTGTAGTCCCTAAATGACTCACTGTGTGACCTTCAGCAGGTCATGCCTGTTCTGTGGGCCTGTGTCTTCCCCATCCGTAAAATGAAAGGTTCGGACTAGATGGTCTCTTCCAGCTCTGACATTCCAGGATTCTGTGATTCCTTCCTCACCTCCTGGGTTTTCCCAGCAGGAAGTTGAGGTTTTGGCCCACTTCTTGGGGCTAGGCTAAAGCCTAGATCCTTGGGCCAGAATGAGAACCCTTGAGAGGCCCTGCTGAGTGAGGTGGCACCATGGACTGACAGACCTATGCACAGAAGCTGGCGAAGGTCAGTGTACTGGGTGAGGTCACCTGAGCATCGTGGTCTCCTACGCCACGCCTTAGGCACAGTGCCCGGGCTGAGGGCAGCTAGGGCAGGAGCCCAGGACTAGGGACAGGCCTGGGTCTTCAGCCAGCTCTTCTGGCCAGCTAGGCTGAGGCAGGGTATTGGTATCTAGAGTCCTCCCTGCCATTGGAGACCCCCCCCCGCACCCACCTCCCCAGACTATGCTAAGCCTCATGTGTGACTCAGATCAAAGTGTGACTCACAGCCTTTGGAAACTGCTGTTTCCAACTCCCTTATTAGCAGGGGGGTGACACTGTCCCTCCCCCAACTAGGGTAATGGTTCTTTTACTCTTTTCCCAGTGTCTACACACAAAACTGTGTGTGAAGACTTGCCTGTGCCACTAAGCACCAGTGGTAGTGAACAAAACATCCTGGAAATAGGCCTTCTTTAGACCCTAGCTGTTAGGAGAAAACTAGGCACTAACCACCATTTCCTTAATACCTTGTCTATAAGTCCCTCCTTCTCACCTGCCCCTGTGGCTTAGGATCTGGCTCAGTGCCAGGCCCATATTCCTCTGATAGTCCCTTCCAGGCTGGGTACAGCATTTGTTATATGAGACAGAAAACACAGGGCTCTAATTCTTCTACTCCAATCACCCTCCATCAATGTGTCTGTGGTGGATATGAAGGGAAGGGAACTTTCCTATAGCTAGAGCTATTTGGGGGAATGGCCAGATGCCATTTTCCAGCCCTTCTGAGATTTGGCCAACCCCTGCCAAAGCTGGGAGAACCAGAGTCTTTCTAGCAATGTCCTGGGCTGGCAGCCACAGCTGAGACCTGCTTTTCTGTCTCTGACTGCTACATGGCAGTGAGATGTATAGATCCTGGCAGGAGTGAGGGCTGTAACTGGGTTAGGGAGAGGCCCCCAAGGCCCCAGGTAGGCAGGGACAATGGTCCTCACTCCTGCCCCCGCAGGACCTACTGTAGGTGGCTGGGTTTTGACTCATGGTTCTGGGAGTCACCTCACTCTGATGAAGAAAAGGCTCCATAAAGGCAGATACTCCCCCACCTCCCCCTACCAGCAAGTCACACCTGTGGGGGAGACTGGGGTTGGGGGAGGCAGAGAAGAAAGAGCACTTGGGGGAGGGCAGCCATTTTCGGAAATGGCAGTATAAGCTGTCTGAGAGGGTGCTGGGGGTGGTCTGCCATCTCTGCCTCAACCCACACCTTCTTTCCCCTGGGACTGGGAGGGAGCCCAGGCATATCAGAAGGGTGCCCTCAGAGAACTATCACAGCTTTAGGCAGAGGGCCAGCAGAATGGCTCACCAACCCACCCAACCTCTTTTGATGTCCCTGCATGACCCCTTCACCTGGTTTGCTTCCTCCCCCCTGACATGGTACCCCCTGTGAGCTGGTCTAGACCCACAGTTCTCTTGCTTCCACAGACACAGGGCAGGCTCTTTCAGGACCTGCCTCCTTTTCCTCCTTCTTCTTTCCTCCCTCCATTCCTCCCTCCCCTACCCACAGGCCACGTGTTGGAATGACAAAGGAGCCCCATGGCATGGCACTGCCTTTGATGGAGAAGAATGATAACAAAGAGGCAGACATGAAAAATGGGGAGAAATGGCAAGGGGAACTGTTGAGGCATAGAGAGGTGAGATGGTTGGTACGGAAAATGAGGTGCTGATGGAGGGGCATGAGAAATGGAAATAGCTGAAGTGGAAAATGGGTTACTGAGGATATGAAAGGGAGAGATGTGGAGGGTTGAAATACTGGAGCTGTTTGTGGGAAATGGATGCCTGAAGGGTTTGCAATAGATGAATGATCAGGGATGCACTTCATCCAAATGTAAGGGTGAGGTAGAAGCCGGTTCTTGCACATAATGGGGATGAGATGAGGATGAGATGGAGGAAGCAAACAGGCAATGGAAGGGAATGACTGATGTGGAGGATTTGACTGTGAGTGCCCTTCTCCGGAGGGACTTACCGAAACTTTACAAACCCATTCAGCGTCCACGCTCGAAGTTTTAAGGGCTCCAGCTGAATTTTAAACATCAAGCTGGCTAAGAAGTCTTCTCCCCAGAAGTGTGGGAAGCTCCGGAAAGCTCCTCGGGCCTGCAGTGGGGGTGCTGCTGGGGGTGGGCAGGAGAGCGCTGTGCGCTTAAACATGCCCAGCCAAGCCCCTCACCTCTGATCGCTCCACCGGAGCCTGCTTGGAAAGCTGCAGCTCGGAGCCACCTCCTCAGATCTCAGAGGCGCTTGCCCAGCAAGGCCTGTCTGGTGCAGCAGGAGCCGGACCTGATTCCCCAGGTGTGGAGAGTGAAGGGAGAGGAGCCAGCGGCCACCTGCTCTCAGGTGCAGGAGTATCTGGCTGATTGTGAGTGGCGGTATGGCAGTGCAAGCGTGTGCTTGTGAGTGGCAGAGTGTGTACCTGTGACAGGTGTGATTGTGAGGGCCTGAGAGGCAGTGAGCTCCTCTAGCCTCTATAAGGGGAGGACCCGACCCCAATTCCCAAGAACCTACTCAATGAAGTCACTGACGGGGACTCCTCCCTCGCAGATGGGCGGGGCAGGGCGGGGAGAGGTAGAGCAGAGCTCGTCCGGGACAAAAGGAGCGGCGAGGAAGGGAGGGGAAGAGAGGGAAGGGGGCTCGGACGGGGGAGGGTGGTCGGTGATGTCACCGGCGCTGGCTGGCTGGCCTGCTCAGAAACGCCTCCGCCCGGCGGAACCCAATCCGACCCTCCCCTGCCCTCCCCCGGCTCAGACGCTGGCTGCCCCCCGAGAAGGGCAAGCCCGGTCGCGGACACCGAGCACCTTGCAGACCCCGAGTCCCCGCACCCCCACGGCAGAAGAGCCTATGGGCCCTCAGTGTCCCAACCTCCCAGACACCAGGAACCCTGGCTTCGCGACGCCCCACTCCCAGGACCCCCGAGTCTTGGCTCGGCTCCCTCACCGGTGAGGAGCTGCGGACGCCTCCGCGGTTGTCAGACAGCCGCTGCCCCCTCCCCCGGCTCCGGCTCTGCCGCCTCCACTCGGGACAGGAGTCGCCCGCCCGCCGGCCGCCGACAGCGGGACCGGGAGCCCGCCCCCACGGCTCCGCCTCCGTGCCTCCCATTGAGCCGTCTGCCTGTCACTCAGCTCAGCCTCTACTGTGATTGGGCAGATTTCAACGAGCGGCTTGGAGATAGCCGCCCATTCTCCGCCCCTGTCACCCGGCCACACGCGCACACATTCCAGGCAGTGATTGGTGTGGGTCTGATTGGCGGCCTCTGGGATCAATCAACCACACCTCTTCGCCACCTCATCGTGTCATTGGTGAAAAGGATAGAGGGCGGCAACTTCACGCGCCCTTTGATTTTATTGGTTCATCTGTGGGATTTAGACCCGAGCCGGGGGGCAACTATATTAGTCCAATCTCCGGTTTGAGAAGGTGGGACGTACTGGCCACCACTCGAATCCCAGGAGAACCTTCTGGAACCCAAGCAACGTCAAAGGCAGCCTTAAAGGAAAACTACCCCCACCAGTTGGCCGTGACATTGTGCATTCTTTCCTTTCTTCATTTAGAAGGGGACAGGAAAGAGAGAAAATAGTGCGCCCTGGCAGGTATAGTTCCTGGACTGGGGCCCAAACGTCACCCCTTCTCACCTGTCTTCCATTGAACCGTGAACCGACCTGGACTTGATCTGATTTAGCTTTACCTTACCTGACATATTGACCTGACATGACCTAACTGGATCTCAAAGCAGACCTCCAAAAGACACGCAGAGTTTAAGTTCCTTTCTGATCTCTCCGGTGAGGGTAACCTGATAGTTCGGCTCAGGTGCAGCACCTCCAGGACTCTCAAGAGTCCCCTTTCCATCGTCTGGTGTAATTCCCTCATCCTAGCTCCCTCCCAGCAGTCAGCCCCCTTCTCAGCAGTCCCCACAGCCCCATTTCAATTTAGTGCCGATAACGAATCTTTCATCCTTACTCCTCCCTGGACTTCTGTATTTCGGTCCTTTACTCCCCTTCTTGGCCCTTATGAACTCCTGATTTCCCCCCAGGATCTTCTGTCTGGTCTTGTTCTTACTCCTTTCTCTACATCCGTGATCTTCCCTATTTTAGCTCCGCCTAATCCTTCATCTCAGCTGCCCGTGATCCCCCTTTTTACCCTCTGAACCTCTCGTCTCATCACCCCCCACTCCCATTAAATTATTAAATTTGAGCCCCAGTGTCCCCGCAGCTCAGAGCAGGCGGGGCTGCGGAGGCGGTCGCCAGCGGAAGCCGCCGCTAGAGCAGACACGGTGCCTGGCGCCCACGTCACTGTCTCCCAGGCCCATCTGTGCTCGAAGGAGCGGGGGTGGGGAGGGGGTAACCTGGGGGTGAAGCAGGGGAGAGGGGGTTCTGGGGGAGCTGATGACAAAGAAAGGGTCAGGGCAGAAGCGTTCATTTACATCTTTCTTTGTCTGTTTCCCAGAGACAGAATTTGGACACCCATGATGTGAGAACTGGCTAGAGCTGGAAACCGAGGCTTGAGTATCTGGGCCACAGAGAAGAGCAGGAGAGGGTCCAGGGATCCTGGGGTCGGGTCTGCATATTCTTCACTGTGGAACTCCAAGTGTAGAGGAGTATGAGATGTGGAAGAAGAAAGGGAATTGCACTGAGAGGAGGATGAAGTGGGGTTAGAGAGATGAGGAGGGGAGCAGAGATGGGATGATAAGTATGGGGCTGGGAGACAGTTAAAGGAGGGGAGGTGGGGTGAATGGATGGAGAAAGGAGGGGAGGGGAAACATGGTGGGAAGATAGGGAGGGGAGTATGGTGGGAGGCAAGGAGGGATGAGAAATGAGGGGATAAAGGGGGAAGTGGAGATAGGGAGAATGAGGAATAGAATGGAAGATAGGATGACCAGAAAAAGGTTGGAACTGAGAGGAGGTGAAGAGGAATGAGGAAGGGAGGGGCCGTGGGGTGGCAAGGCAAATGGAACAGTGTGACGTGGAAATGGGTAAGATGGGATGAGGGGGTGCAGGACCAGTGCTGGCTTCTTAGATGTGGGGGCTCTCATCCTCCACCTTCAGACTCGTGGGTCCCAGGTGGGGGGTGGCTCTGCTTCTTCCTATTCCAGTTCTGTCTCTTTTGCCTCCTCCAGCTTGCCTGTGCCAACACGGAGGCAGAGAGTTTAATTACCAGCCCTCACTTGGCCCCTGCTAATGCTAAAGTGTAGGCTTGGACCTTCGAGGGTGTAAGGCTTGCGTGTTCAGATGTTGGTGGCATGACTCTGTTGTCTGCCCAGTTCACTGTTCCTGCCTTCTGTCCCATTGCCCTGGGCATCAGGGGGATATGTGGGGAATCAGGGTACAAAATGAAGCATAGTGTGAGAATATGGGTCCTGGAGTCAGGCTGTGGACGCTGTGAGGTTATTTCCACATCTGTGCCTTATTTCCTTCTCTGTAAATGGGGATAGGCAACAGCAACACTTCTAAGAGTTGTTGTGAAGGTTAATTAAGGTAACATATGTAATGCACTTAGTTCTGAGCTTCGCATGTAGTTAATGCTCAACGAAGTTAACCATTGCTTTATGTTCACGGATGTCTGGGTATGTAAGTGCATCTATAAATGTATGAGTCTGACTGGGAGTTATTTGTACTGTTGTACTGGTGATGTGATTTGTGAGAGTGTATCTGTCTAATTATTTATGTGTGGCAGTGTGGTGTGCCTGATTGTTTTTTGCTGTAGGTATGTCATTTTTTGTCAGTGTACATGTGTATGATTAAATGACTCTGTAGGTATGTGTCTACATGATAGAATGGATGAAATATGTGGCTGTTGACATGTTGACACCATGTCTGCCAGCATATACATGCATCTCTGATCAGGTTGGTTCTAAACACTACCAATTACCCTTCCTTCCTATGGAGACGTCATAACCCTAGGTATCCCTCATTTCCTCACCCTGAGGGAACCGGAACCTGTGGGCAGGGGCGGAGGTGGGTGCCAGTGAGGAGGTGTTTAGACAGGAGCGCATGTTCCCTCCCAGACTGTGTAGGGGAGGGGAGCCCCTGATTCTGCATATATCCTGAAAGCGCCATAGGAAGTGCCCCCCCAGCTTGTTCTGGGTGCCCTGTCTTGTTACCATGGCAGCAGTTGCCAGGGGCTCCCACGGTTGCTAGGTTCTGGATGTGGGAGGCTGCCAGGCCCTGTTGCCAGTAGAAACAGAGAATCCTAGGGGGAAGGAAGACTACCCCCACAACTGCCAGCTCTTTGTAGCCACAGAACTGGCCCTTGGGCCTCTCCTTTCCCCCAAATTTACCTATGATTTGTACGCAGTAGTATATGCGTGTGTTGGGGGTCCTTTATCAGAAAGCTGGAACTAGAATACTGGGAATACTAGAAACTTCTGGGGAAAAAGAGGACCCCCAGCCTGCCCATTAGCATCTTTAAAGTTAAGAGTTCCTTAGAAATTAGTGACTACTTTATTTTGTCCCCCATCCCTTAAACTTCTCCCTGGGAAATGTCTCTGCTTGAAGTGATTAGTTATTCATTACCTGATGCTTTCACCCAGGTGTAGGAATGCTGCATTGACCCATTAGCCGCGTTACAGACGGACTACTCCCTATGGTCAGATGTTTAGCATCTCACCTGATACATACTTTATGCTAACACCCAAGCCCAGAATTTGGTCCCATACTGAGTCCCTAACTTTGACCTCACCCTAAGATACTGAACCTGGTTGTAGTCCTGGATGACACAGTTTCCTCAATTCAGCCTCAGCTTAAGCCTTCCTCCTGACACGGCTGAGCTCCAATTTTGGTACTTGGACTCATCCTCATAATCATTTCTGACGATATACACTAACTGAGCACTAACTAGGATTCTAACTTCCTGTTACTCATGGGTGTCTCCCTGCATGTTCTGAACTTAGAGAACCCTGAGAGGTTCAAAAGGGTTATTTCTTGCCTTGAGGTGAGAGGACAGTGCTAGGGATGACCAGCAGAGGGCGTGCAATATTAGGTTCTAGAGACAAGCTCCACTAGCCCACCTGTGAACTAAAGAAATTGAAGTTTGCAGGTTGTGGATGCCAAAACTTTGGAGTCATGTGGATCCTTAAAGTCATGGATTTTCTCCTTCTGGAGAAATTGGGCTCAGGGCTGGGAAACTATCAGAAGGAGCTTAATTGTTTACTCGCATCTCATGTCTCAAGAGGACTGGATACCTAATAAGTTATCTCACACCCAACTCAATATTTCTGTTGCATGCTCTTACAGCTTCACTGCCTTCTCTGGTACATAGTTATTTTTTGGAATAAGCAGAAGTGTGCCTCCCATAGCATCCACCTTTTATCTTGGCTTTGTCCTCAAAAACACATTGACCTCATCAGCCCCATCTGCAGAGCATCAGCCATCTGCACCTTTCAAGTCTGCTTCTCTCCAGAACGCCCACCTGCATAGGTTATTCACCTGCCTTGTTCACTTCCAACCACTAAGATCATTTTCCCTTGAAGGGGTATCAGTTTGTGGTGCCTGGCTCTGATTAGGTTTTTTCCAGGAGCTAGCCTGCTTCTCCTTTGACTTTCAACTTCCTTCCACATTGCCTCAGATTAGATCAGTTTGTTTTTTGGCAGCCACCTCTTACTGGTCACCCATACCAAGTTAAGACCAAAACTCTTTTCTATCTGATCTTCTAAATCACTTCTTTCTCATTTGTACTTATTGTTTTTTGAAAGGAGAGTTATATTCATTTTACAAAACAAAGATATTTGAAATAAGTTAAATAAAAAAACATTTTGGCAACACTTCTGAGTTTTAGGGCAATACATGGCTTGGAAATCTCTGCACTTGATGTTTACTTAAAGATGGGACAAAGAGGCTGGGTGTGGTGGTTCGTGTCTGTAATCCTAGCACTTTGGGAGGCTGAGGCAGGAAGATTGCTTGAGGCCAGGAGTTTGAGACCAGCCTGGGAAACATAGTGAGACTTTTCTTTTTTTGTAAGACAGAGTCTCATTCCGTTGCCCCAGGCTAGAGTGCTGTACTGTCATAGCTCACAGCAACCTCAGACTCCTAGGCTCAAGTGATCCTCTTGCCTCAGTGTCCTCAGTAGGTGGGACTACAGGTGCCCACTACAACACCTGGCTAGTTCTT